GGGGGGGGGGGGGGGAAGTGGGTGTGGGTGTGGCTGTAAAACAGCATTGTGAGACAGATCCTTGTGGTGATGGACGTGTTCTATCAATGCCAGTGTCCCAGTTGTTGAAACTGTAGTATATATTTTTGAAGGTTGTTAGCTTAGAGGGAAACTGGGTGAAGGGTACATGAGATCTCTCTGTATTACTTCTTATAACTCCATATGAATTTCTAATTATCTCAAAGTTTAAGTTTTTAAAAAGGGAGAAAAATTGATTTTTGAACTAAAACATGGTCTCAGAGAAAAGCATCTCTTAATCCCTTTTCTGCCCCTTGCAGTCTGTCTGAACCAGTTGGATTTTGGTTTTTTAATTTATTTTTGTTTATTTTATTTTATTTTATTTATTTTTTATTGAAGTGTAATTGACTTAAAATATGATTTTAGTTTCAGGTGTACAGCATAGTGTTGTGATGTTTTTACACATGGCAAAACGATCACTATGGATTTGGCTTTTATTGTTCAACTCATTCTGTTTTCCTATTTTCATTGATAAGTCTGAGGCAATGTTGAACTTAAGAAGTCCATTTTTTTTTTTGCCTGTCTCCGGTCTTTGTTGTGGCACATGGGATCTTCACTGTGGCATGTGGGATCTTTCGTTGCGTCACATGGGCTTCTCTCTAGTTGTGGCGTGGGGTCCAGAGCACGTGGGCTCTGTAGTTTGTGGCACTCGGGCTCTCTAGTTGAGGTGCGCGAGCTCAGTAGTTGTGGCGCGTGGGCTTAGTTGCCCCGCGGCATGTAGGATCTTAGGTCCCTGACCAGGGATCAAACCCGCGTCCCCTGCATTAGAAGGCGGATTCTTTCCCACTGGACCACTAGGGAAGTCCCAAGAAGCCCATTCTTTTAAAAATTCAACTAATTAAAAATTTTAGACACGACTGAATTTTTTTTTTCTACAGAGGGATTTTTATTTTAATATCTTTCAAAAAGGTTGAAAGCATGTCAGTGTTTTCCACGTGTTCTTACCCTTCTCCATAATGAAACTTAAGTCTCAATTCATAAACACCCATAACTGTATTTTACCCTCAGTTGCCTGAGAGCAACTGACTTCCTTCTGATTCCTCCCCAGAGCATCGAGATGAGACTCAAGGTCAGCCTGCACGAAGACCTGGGGGCTGCCCTCATGGATGGCGTCGTTCTCTGCCATCTAGTCAACCACATCCGCCCTCGATCCGTCGCAAGCATCCATGTCCCCTCACCAGCAGTTGTAAGTAACGCCATATAAAGGGAAACTAACTCTCACATCAAACAAACTCCTTTGGGACAGTACTGCTGGTTAAAGATACCGATGGGATCTCCAGGACCCTCTGCTCAAATGCTCTGTGCTGGGCCCCAAACAGCTAGAAGAGCAGGAAAGGAATAGCATTCCTGAATGAAGCAACATTTTCACTGTAAAAAGGGAAAATATTTAAAGTAGGTACGTAAATGACAGAAAAGGAACTTGCTTCAAATATGAAGCAAAACACGTTAAAGAAATGCTTGGGGTGCTAACTTTAAGACTGTAGAGACACAAAGATTCATTCCTCACAAGGAATTATTTAAACAGTGAGAAGTCTTTTTGGGAAACTTCTTTTGGTTGGTGAGTTCTCTTCTAAATGGAAACTCTTTCCTCTATTAATTATTGAGGAGCTTAGGATAGCTCTGAAAAGATGTGGATTCTGTATAAAATATCATTAGTAACCTGTGAGGCCAGAGGTTGGTCAGCTGGTCATTAATTCAACAATTCCTTGATCACTAGCTGTGCTCAGGGGTGGGTTGGAGATACCAAGGAAACTGGGGAAAGATGAAAGAGACCGAGTGATATGCCATTAGTCCCTAAAAATCCTCGTCTCCATGTGGGGGAGATAAGGCAGGCACTGGCATCCTCGTCCTGTAATCATGGACCCATATTACCATCCAGAAGAGAGCTATGGAGTCATTTTATGGTCATTCAGATGAGGGAGGGGGAATCAAAGATAAGCTGGTCTTTGAAGCCTACGTAGGGTTCAGACAAGTAGAGAAAACCTCTATCCATACTATTTACTGTTAGGTGAAGCAGAAGAGTTTAGGGGCTAAGAATGTAGGGGTTGGATTCCAATTCCACATCTATATAATCCATACGACTTTGGGAAAGTTATTTAACCTTTCTTTAACTTGATTGGCTCTTCTCTGTCATGGAACTGCTCCCATGAGGATGAAATGAGGGCCTACATGTGATATAAATGTGAATGCAAGCCATTGTGATCATTAGTGTTTATGAACAGATTTTTCAAAAGCCAGAGCCCCCAACCTCAAGGCACAGTGTTCATAAAATATCATAGGAAGAGTCTGTGGAGTGAAAGCCTCATGTGAAGCCCCACTCCCCACCCAGGAAAGCATCGTAGTGGCATTATTTTTCTTAGTTTCTTTTCTCTTGGCAGCAGGAAAAATTAGCTGATGATCGCATTTCAACTGTCAGTTTTCTTTCTATACAGTTGAATATATTTTTCCCTTCAAAAGACTGACCACTTTTTTGACTCAGAAAACACAGGGAAAAAAACCAAAACAAAACAATTTGTCTTCTGATTCAAATCTGCTTTATCTGCCTTAGTTTGGGCAGTAAATTCTGTCCTATAATCAAATATGAAAAAGTTTTGAAGTCCAAACTGCGGTTAAGTTGTTAGAGCTGTGTACCGGATTCTCATTCAGTATTTTCCCCCAACTTATAAGAAAGAAAGTACGATTCCTCAGCCTCCAATTTAAATATACAGGTATTGTGTTATAAGGTATGAGGACACTATGAATCATGTTATCTACACACATTTGTAAATTTGATCAATTCTTCAGGAAAAAAATGCTACTTTCTTTGGTTGTCACCTTTTATCTTTTTCAAATAAAAAAAATTAATTGAAAATATAATGGGAATAATGCTTGATTGGAGAAAATGGAGAAATGCAGGAGGAAAATATATCATGTTCTATCCCACCACCCAAAGACAACCAACCACTGTTTACATTTTGGCTTTTATGCTGCTAACACTCCTTGTACATATAAGTTGTTTTCTGAATTGTGAGCTTCTCATATATACTATTTAGTAGTTTTTATTTTTTATTTTTTTAATTTTTGCTGTGTTGGGTCTTTGCTTCTGTGTGAGGGCTTTCTCTAGCTGTGGCGAGCGGGGGCCGCTCTTCATCGTGGTGTGCGGGCCTCTGACTATCGCGGCCTCTCGTTGCGGAGCACAGGCTCCAGACGCACAGGCTCAGCAGTTGTGGCTCACGGGCCTAGCTGCTCCATGGCATGTGGGATCCTCCCAGACCAGGGCTCGAACCCGTGTCCCCTGCATTAGCAGGCAGATTCTCAACCACTGCGCCACCAGGGAAGCCCCTATTTAGTAGTTTTGAAAATTTATGAAAACCTAAGTATTTCCCCAAGTCATTAAAACTCTTCATAAATATCCATTTTAACAACTGTGAAGTGTTTTAGCTTATGTTATTATATTGTAGTTTTCCTTTCTAGAAATGTTTCTAAATGTCCACTTCTCAGAAATTCTTCTCTGAGCATCCTGAGCTCCCATTGACCAGACCCAGCCACGGCGTAGCGGTAGAGCCCGCTTGCATCTCCAGTCTGTGTAACATTGCCTTACAAACACTGTCCACTCCCGTGTTTGCACAAGTTGCTCACTCTAACCTAGAAGCCTGCTCCCCACCCTGCCTCTAAAGCTCCTCGCCTTGAAGCATCACCAGCTTTCTAATAAAACCGATTGCTTTGGCGAGAAAGAGAGTCATTGGCCTGGTGAATTTAACCCTTCATATAGAAATATATTTGCTGATGGGAAAAGGTGATGTTTATGGTGTACTTTTAAGTAAACTAAAGCAGGTTACACAACAGTATGATCTCATAAAAACTGTGTGTGTGTGTATGTGTGTATCCACACATATACATTCACATGTGCAGAAAATCTTGCACACGTGTATATACATATATACATGTATGCAGAAATTCTACATATAAACACATATCTATGTGTATATATGCATGTCGTTGTGTACACACACAGTGTCTAGAAGAATACAATCCAAAATATTAACAGCGCTTTAGGTCAATGTTTCTGGATAATTTTTTATTGTCTTCTGTTTGCTTATGTATTTATTTTTCTCCAATAAACGTGTAGTACTTCTGCCATTTAGAAAGTTTAAAATTTTAACCTGTTATTACAAGTATTTCTCTTGGTAATTCTTTATTTCTGAATATTTGCATTCATAGCCTAAACTTAGCATGGCCAAATGCAGAAGAAACGTGGAAAACTTTCTGGAAGCATGCCGAAAATTAGGAGTACCAGAGGTAACGTCAAACTTAGTTCCAGTAACTATGTTTGAGTAAAGATTTTACTTAATATATGTGTTTGAACCTATTGAATAGATATACACCTTTGTCCATCCTTTTTCATCTCAATCTTTCTTGAGGAATAATGTTGAATAAGTTATATAAAATTTTAGTTTAAATTGCTCTATTGCAGTGAAATAAAAATGGCTTAAAATGGTATGGTCAATTCTGAAGAAAAAGGGAATATAATTTTTTTAAGGTTTTGAAATAAATGCGAATTTCCAAACTTACAAAACAAACTTAGTTAGCTTGATTCTCTTCACAAAGAGCAGAAATTGCTGAAGCTTCAGTGAGCCTTCTGTGGGTTACATAGGGTAGAATTTTGGAGGTAATGATTTTTGCCTATCCAAAGCTCTTAAGCACAGTAGACCTGTAGTTGACCACTGATTTGTTGATTTGCACTCCTTGTAGGTTTGGGGTATGTAGTTCAAAATAATAAGCATTGAAAATATTATAATTATTGTTATTATTATCATTAATCACAACCATTCATAATAACAATGTTTGTGTATTGCTTTATAGTTTGTTAACTGTTTGTATTTACATTTTCCCCTTCAGTCCACTGTAGACCCAATTGGCAATTCCCTGTAGCCAGCCCAGCAATGATTTGCTACTTTTTCTTTCTCCCAAGCTAAGCCCCAGCCTTAGCCTCAGCCAGATAAGATAGCTGATTTGGGTCTTCCGAGGACTTTACTATCAGTAACATAAAATGATTTCTTAGGGAGATAAAAGTTCACTCAGAATTTGGGGATAAGTTGACAAGCTTTTCATCATTGTGATAAAGGGAAATAGACAGAAACTACATTTCTTAAAATTTTCTTCTGTCTTTTCTAATGTTCCAGGAATAAAGTAACTACAAACTCTATCATGAAATACTGTTTTTGAGTATATGAAGGAGTTACATTTTCATGTAGTTCTACTAATTGATAGGAGTTAGTTATTGGAATTGAGTAAGGCTTTTTCTCCCTCCCTCCCTCTCTCCCTTCCTTCCTTCCTTCCTTCCTTTCTTCCTATTTTTCAGCTTGGTGACATTTGAAGGTGAGAGTTAAGTGGTGGGCTTCTAATCTTATTTGAGGAAAAGGAGAGAATTATTAAAACATCTTTAAGTCAAAACTGTACCAATTAAAAGAAGCTTTCAAATTCGTTTTTAAATAGAGTGTAATCTTTATATAAGGTACTCAATGTCTTTATGATCAATCCAAATGTGTTTCAGCAGTGTTAATCTGTGTGTCTGTATTGTATGTGTGCATTTTACTATTACCCATACATTTCTTGGCTTCAAATGTTTGTGAAATTCTCATGCGCCTACCACTTTTAATGATTTGATTCCGTCATGGGTTAATACGTGTGTGAATCAAAATTATCACACCAAGTTTCAGATTGTAAATTATTTGTGTCTGTACTCAAAAACGCTGATGAGTTATGACCAATCCCCTGTGATATTTTAAAACTCATCATTTTTCTTGGCTTACGATGACACAAAATGACGTGGAAATGCCATTAACCATTTATTGTGAGTAAAGATTGGTAATTATGATTTCCTTCTAAAGTGAGGAAAAGGAAATTAGCATCAAAATGCAGAGAAAATTTTATCATAATATCTGAATTACGCCCCTAGCACTAATAGGCAACTGATAATTCCGGAGACAATTGAATTACAAGAAGTAAATCATCTTTTTTGCCAGTGTTCCAACTTAACTATGCTTAGTAAGAAATATATCACTAAGGCTATTTTTGAAACGATTTTTAAGATTTGCGGTGATTTTCAAGTTTGCATTGTGTATGTGTGTGATTGTGTGTACATCTATATCCATCCTGATGGATAATCCAGTAGCATCTTACTGGTGACTAGAGTTACATTAAGTTCATTGCTACTAGAAAAAGTCTGTTCGTTGGTTAGCAGTTGAACTTCTTTAATGAGATATGTTAAAGGAAGGGAGGAATATTCTAGTGGAAAACCAGAAATTGCAATTGGAGTGCAGCTGGCAAAACTTGCTATATATACTCAAAGGAACGTGCTTTCATCTCTTGGAATAAATGAGTCATAAATTGTTGGAAATGAGGAAATGTTTTCATCTAGGAATGCAATACTAAGTTGGGGGAGGGGTGGGAATAACCCCTTCTTCCACTACTTAAGATGGTTGACGATTTGAGTGTATATGTGGCACACTGCAATTCTAGTTGCAGGAATTCTCCCCTCACAGTCAGACATTTTAAAAGCCTGGTACTTAAAAGCGGAGGACCTTTAACGTTACATTTTCTTTTTTTGCTTCAAGCTTAACATTTGGGTAACGAAATACTCACTGATTTCCCGGCAGCTTAGCGAATTCCTCCTAATTTGCAAGCTTGCCCTGCTTTCTTCTCCATCCCTAACTTATCTACATACACACACCGATAAGTCACAGAGATCTGGAATTCTGTATTATTTTAAGCTAAATAGCTAACTGACAATGATAAATCATCCTGTAGAGACTGAGAAGTCGCAGCTGTGCTCTCAGCCCGAGTTTGTTGCCCTTTGTAATAGAATCACAGTTTGAAACTACAACCCAAAGTCAGGGTTGGCAGCTTACTCAGTTTTATCAGGTTCATCTGGGTGGAATGTGGTCGCTGAGCAAATGATGACATATAAATTAATATGATGGGAAGGAAGCGATTTTAAAATTGTTCCAGTTGTTACGGTTTTTATTATATTTTCTCTAGAAGTCCCCAGGAACCCAATCCCAGGTACCTGCCTCAGGGTTGGTCAAGGTTCATGAAGCATTTTATTGTGTGTCCGGTGGAGTGGCTTCCCTATAAATGTGGCTTCTTCGAATTGGCTGCATTCAGAACTGCACACAGTGTAAGCGGCCTAGTTTATTTGCAGAAGGTTGGAGTATGCACCAGGAGTGGATGGATACGGCGACTCTAGACCTCTGTCGGTTATTCCTGACGTTTGGATGAGGCTACATCTATACCTTTCTTAGTCCAGGGGCACAGACAGGACTTGGCAGTCAACGCCACCTATAGAAAGGAGTTGACATCACAGAAAGAAGTCGGTGTTGGGTTTCTGGAGAAATTCTGTTAGGGCGACAGCAGGCGTATTTGCTGTCATCTGTGAGGGATCCTGGGAAGAGGTAGAGGTTTGCTGATGAGAATACCAAGGGCAGATCCTGAAAAACAAATTGGAAATGCTGCCCCCCACCCCGCCCCAGCCCCAGCAAGTTCCTTTTCTGGTGGCAGAGTTAATCTCTCTTCAGGTAGTTATTTCAGCCTGGGTCACTTCTGCTGCCCATTTCCAGTGCCTTGGGGTTTTTTGTTTTTGATTTTGTTTTTCTGTTTGGGGCCAGTTCTTCAACCAGGGACAGATTGAGTGACTGCCATCTGGAAGGAGAGGCGTGCGGGTGAGTGCGGAGGATCTGTGAGCAGAGCGAGGGACACGGGGTTTGGGGTGAATTAGCCGCACCTGTGCTGTTAACTGGTTATGTGCCCTGAGGCAAGCCTATTAAAGCCTGGAGCCGTGAACCACTTGCCGGGACCTTCTTGCAGCTGCATCATCTTCTCAAATGCTCACGGTTGAGGTTCCGAGGCCCATATTTTATTACCATGCTCTGAGGAAAATGAGGCCCAGAGACGTTACACAATTTCCTAAGCTCACGCCCGCAGCCGGAAGGCAGCAGAGCTGGCGTTCGAACCCCGGTCCATCCGCGTCCAGCGCCTGCCTTCTTTCCGGCACACACAGGGGCTCTCTGCGTCCGAGTTCCCTGCTCTGCAAACTGCAGGTGTTGGACTTAAGCAATGGATTAAGCCACATTCTCCAGAGCCCATTGATTCTTTCGGAAGCCAAGCCGGGGCTGCAGATCACTCCCACCCCCTTGATTCAGCCACTGGCAGTTTCTCCTTTGCCTGTGTGGCATGTATCGGCTTTCCAGTTAAGAGTTCCTTTAGGGGTACAAACCAGCAATGAGTACTAAAATAGGCATAGAAAAAAAAAAAAAGAGTTCCTTTGGGGGAAAAGTGTCCTGTTGCTAATTATAGTTTGAAAATCACTAGACCCTTAAGGTTTCTTTGAGCTGATAGCCCATGGACGCTCAGCTTCATCCCACAGCGCCATGATTGCTTTCCCCCATCAGCTCCTCTGAGGCAGGAAAATTACCCCACGTGCCTCAAGGCACCCTGGAAAATCTGGGGGTCAGGTGATGTTGCTGGCACCATCCCATGGCCCCTTGTAGTGTTGTTGTCCGTGGTCAGACTGTGCAGCTGTCTCTGACCTCCGGTGCAAGTGTCAGCTTGATCTTGAACACAGGCTTACCCTTGGCGGGCTTCCAAATTCTTCACTATATACTCTTTGTATCACCCAGGAATCTGACTTCAATTAAGCCTTGGGGTCATGAGGCTATTTGTGGACATACTGAGGCTTCCTTTGCCTTTTCTTTTTTTTTTTGCATTATGCGGGCCTCTCACTGTTGTGGCTTCCCCCACCGCGGAGCACAGGCTCAGGACGCGCAGGCTCAGCGGCCCTGGCTCTTGGGCCCAGCCACTCCGCGGCATGTGGGATCTTCCCGGACCGGGGCACGAACCCGCGTCCCCTGCATCGGCAGGCGGACTCTCAAGCACTGCGCCACCAGGGAAGCTCCTTCCTTTGCCTTCTCTGAGTTAGCTTGGTCATTCGTGGCCTCTGATCTTGATGTTGAGGATTCACAGTTGGCTACTGGGGGTCTCCAGTTTGATCCAAATTTAGGGCTGTTTTAGGGCTCTTACTAGTATTGTCTCAGGTCGAGAGAAATCTCTCATTTGTGTAGCATCAAAAGTATTAGAAAATAGATATATAATTTTTTACTCACCAGGGAAGTATTTCACCTTGATTTTATTTTTTTGGAGGGGAAGACACTCTGGTCTTTTTCTAAAGGGAGATCCTCTGGTCTCTGTCTCCCAGAGGAGACAGCCTGGTATTTTTCTGAGAGAAATTGCCCTGGTCCCTGTCTGAGCGGAGACACTGATGTCTCTGTCTGAAAGGAGGCTCCCTGGTCTCTGTCTGAGGGAAGATGCCCTGGTCTCTTTCTGTCTACTTGATGTTAAATAAGTAGCCTTGGCCTCCAACCTCTGTAAGGAGCAAGGTCCTTAATTTAACAGACTTGCCCTGTTTAGAGGAGGAAGGGACATCGAATAGAAATGCACCTTGTTTTCTAGCTGCCCAGCCTCTCCTGTTCATTACTGTCTCCAGAGAGGAATTGGGAGGAGGGTCAGGGCAGCACCTCCATCAGCTGTACAGGGCCCTTGCCTGCCGGATAGCACAGAGGCCAGGGGTCCTCACTAGACTGTGGGAGGTGGAAGGTTTTCCTTCCATATCTACAAGGACGGGTCCCTTGGTGTCCAGCCTCTGCATCAGCCAGATGGAGTTAAAAATAAAATCCTAAAGTACACTGAGATACTAACGATGATTGCTTTGATACAAGTGGAATTATGGCTGAGTCTGCTTTTCAGTGCCTTTCGTATTTGTATTTTGTTGACTTTTATAAGGAGATATTATTTTTGAAAGTAATTGCAAAACTTCCTACTTTATACCTGTTGTAAGGGTTTAGGGCAGTTTATGTAAATGATCTGAATTTTTTAAATTGAAAGACGTTCTATAAATTGAAGCTACCTTTTTTTGTTTGTTTGTTTTAATCCTGAGAATAGGAGATATGAATTCCTTCGCCCCTTTGAACCTTATGTCTCTTTTTTCCCCCAAATCAATGACTTTAGTATCAGTTTAAGTCATAACTAATAAACCACTTTTGGGGGATGGTGAGATTCTTATTACAAGATTTGTTTTAAGTTTCCATTTACATTGGTTACTTGCGAGGTTGGATGATCAGAGGTGCAGATTGACACCAAGTTATTATTTTATTAATGTAAATTTTTAAATCCCTAATGCTTTAAGCAGAGCCAGTCTCTAGCTTGTAAAACCAATCATCTCCAATGGTTAGTAGGTGTGTATCACCATTCATGTAAGAATACTTTCCCCCTGTGTGTCTCCTGGTGGTAGAGCCACTTCCGGTCAGTGGTCTGACGTCGGTACATGGTTGAGAACAAATACTTTCTCGAAGCAGCGTCTTCAAAGAGCTTGAAACTGCATTTCTAGATGAATTACCTTACTGATATTAGAGTTACTAAGTGCATAAAATTGGTGATTAGTTCTTATATATCTGGAGAAAACTCTGGAAACCTTTTCCTACCTCACTCCACTCTGTGCCAGATTACACCTTGTCAGTTAGGGCTTTACATTTTCAGAATGACCATCAACATTCTTGTGCTATGACATTTTAGATTAAAAATACTTTGTAAGCATACTGCCTTTCAAAATTAAATTTAAATAAACAATACTTAGAAGCATACTGCCTTTCAAAATCAAATTTAAATAAACAATATATTCTAAATTTCTTAGAATTTAGTCTGTATTATACTCAGAATGCCTGTAAATTAGACCATTTGATAGATCTGGGTACATTTTTGTTTCTATCTGTAGTATTTGGAGAACCTGAGTTCATCTTTAATAGTAATCTTAGTCACACACTCTTGTGTTGACTTGTATGAGAATCAGTTAACTTCTGGCGATTGTGATTTCTGTTCACTGTAATGGGAATTAGCATCTGCACCCGCCTCTCGGGACGCTGAGTGTATTAACTCTGTTTTTCAAATGCCTTGCAATAATTACTAATGCTCTGTAAATACATGGTGAAATTTGGCCTCCTTAAATTTCCTTCCTTTTTAGTGTTTTCCTATTTTAATTACAAGAAAAAAATAAAGCATAATCTGTAAGTCCCTCTTATTAAGACTGAAATTTGGAAAGCACAAGGGTCAGAAAACTCCCAGGTTCCCCTGGCAACTTCAGCCCTGGCTTCCCATCATAGCATCCTCGAGGGACTGATCTGACGGCCATGGGCTGTGTGACGGGGGTTAGAATCAGAGTAGCCCACACTCCACGCATTATGATGCTTCAGATTTTGCCAGCCAATCTTAGACCCATACTTTTTTCTTCAGAGATCGTGATTTAATTTAAACCACCCGCTGTAGACTGTGAGTCTAAGCTTTCCCCACTTTAATCTGAATGAAGCCCAGAACCTGTGGCATCATGAAATTATTTCCAGATTGAGAAGAATGGTCTGTGTTGCCTACCCAATGCAAGAAGTGTACTTCTGAATAGATACACTGGAAACTGCAGACAATCTAATTCTTAGTTCTTTGATGGAGTTGCTGGGGAGCAGACCAGACATTTTCCGTAGGGTTCTGGGAAATGTATTGAAATATATCCTGGAGATAAAATGATTTGCTTTTAACATGGAAATACCACTTTGGTGACAATCACATTTTAGTGTGTATATGCCTTCTGTCTTATGTCTGTTTTGCTCAGAGTTCACTGATTAAGCACACCATTGCAATAGCAAATTCTTATTGCAATAGAAAACTCCTTCTCTTAGATGTTTCCCCATCTGTTAATTCCTGATCAGCATCTCTGTCCCAGTGAAATCCATTCTATGTGTAGCTGTTTTAATTCTTGAGAAAATAACAATGGTAGCTTGATTCCTCTAAATGCACTGAGAAAAGATGCACAGTCGGAACAGATATAACATGATTTATTAATATCCTTAAAAAAATCTTTTGTTAAGAGGATCTCTACCTTCATAATTTAAGATTAGGAGGTTTATAATCTTATTCAGCGCACTTACATTGATTATCCCTCTTTACCAGAGGGCATCAAGCTAACTGCAGAAGATACGTGCAAGACAGACTCTCTTGTCTTAGAATCATCTTTCAGTTGCTCTGTGATTTGCATCTGCTTAGCAGTGATGCTAAAACAAAGGGCAACATTGTTGCAAAGTATATTATAAAGTATATTATATATATATTTTAAATACTTTGCCTAATTTGGACATAAAGCTGCATAAAGCTGTGAAATATATCACATAAAGCTGTGAAATATATCACAGATATTTTCAGTCCTTGTTTAATTTGGAAACAAAGCCAGAACTTTGGTACATACTGACATAGCGATTATAATCATTTTTAATTTGAAGCTGCGGTCCTTTCTGGCTCAGGAATTCAGGGTATCAGAAAAGCATTTGCTTCCTGACAGCAGTAGGCATCCAGAGGTCAACTCATAGGACTATCTTATTTGTGCGTTTAGTTGATAAAGTAGGAATTCTGCCTCCTTACATGGTGACTGTCAAGTAGACAAAACACGGAGGCCTGTTCTCCCCACCCCTCCCCTTACACATACCTGTTTAGTGGTGAAGAAATTTACATAATTCCTCTATGCACGAATGTACTTTGATTCTAACTGCAGATCTAAGAAGCCTCTTTTAAACTTTTGGTTTATGTCCAGTTGTAAAAATGTGAAATTTAACGTAGTTTTTGGGCACATGTAGGGACATGATTAAAATTAGCATTCCCCAGAGTTTATCAATAATCCTAAAAGGAAAACAAATTAGGCGCATGTATTACCTTTCTGAGAGAAGTACTTTATATTCAGTCTTCATAGACCAGGGTAAAAAATGCACTAAGAGAATGGTGAGGAAAGGTGGGGATTACATTTTTAAGTTTGTATTTTTCCCTTTAGTATAGTGAAGACCTCAATGTCCCAGGTGCAAAGCTCTTATTCTTATGCCATTGCTGACTCATGATACCACTTAAATATTAAAACTGTTTGAATACCAGAAGGATGTATAAATTACAGAACCTTCTATTCCTCGATAGTGAGATTCTGGCTGAGGAATTTCTTTGTCCTATTTGCATAGACTGTGTTGGGTATGCTGCTTTTTGTAATTAATTAAAAAATCTGTGGTGGAACGGGTTTTACCTGCTTGAAATAAGGGGTTACTCTTGCCATTTGCTAGTAACTAAAAATGTGTGCTTCTTTTCAGCCGTTGTTCTGTGTATTTTTAATTGTATGCACTGTCTCTTTCTGTTCTGATGGCTGCCCTCGGAATAGGCTGACCTCTGCTCTCCGTATGACATCCTGCAGTTGGATTTTCGTCACATTCGAAAGACTGTTGACACTCTGCTGGCACTCGGGGAGAAAGCCCCACAACCAACTTCTGCCCTCCGCTCCAGGGACCTTATAAGCTTCTGTCTTGTCCATATTCTCTTTGTAGTGCTGATATATATCACTTACCGCTGGAATGTTCTGTCTGCGTAATGCCCGCATGTGCATCCCTACACTCTGCTCTGTCACCCTGCTCCATGACAGGGTCCTTCCTCCCTCTGGGCCTTTGCCTTGCAAACTTCCATCCCTGTCATCTCTTCAGTAATCTCTGGAGTTTTGAAGCCGAACGTTTCCACATCAGATTTTCCAGAAGCACAAACTTTACAGAAAGCAGCTCCCATTAGATAGTTTCTCTCACTTGCTGAGAAACAAGTGAGGACAGAGTGTATCCACACCTCTTGTTTCCTCATCCTCATAGTGCCAGCAGCAGTGCTCTGCAGTGCCTCTTCTCTCTCCCAGTGAGCTTTGCTGCCCTGGGTAGAGCTGAAGACGTTTCCAGAACAGGAGCAGAGGGGATTTAGCGTATGAAAATCTTGCCATTGGGTCAGTATTTAAGTCGACTCCTAATTCAGGATTGGGCAATTTAACTGTAGAGGGAAGACAGAAAGCCAGCATTGGGGGTCCAATTTGGTCTATAACAATCTTTAATAATGCCACTGTTGACCAAGTTGAAAAATACCATCTGGAGAATGACTGCTTTGCTGGCCATCCAGCTGGCTTCCTCCCTGCTTCCTGCAGCAGAAGCTGTGAAGGGCACCAGGGAGGGTGACCCCCCCACTTCCACCCTGAGTGAGACCCTCTGCCCTGCAGCCTGAGACAGGGCTGTGCAGAAGGGCGCTGGGGAGGAAGGGTCCGGCGCAGTCAGAGTGCCGTCTGGAGGATCCACGGCACACCACTCTTTCTGCGTGGTTTTACTTATTCCTTGTTTGGTCTACTCTGACCGAGGCTCTTAGAAAAGCATTTTCCAAAAAGGGTTTCTATTTTTAAATAATGTAATGGGTCATTTCGCTTTTTTTTTTTTTTTTTTTTTTTTTGGCTACATCACATCATAACTTCAGGTCTAGAATGTGATGGATTTGACAGTATTTATTTTCAAATAAAGCCATGAGTCATGGAACATTCTTGGGCCTAGGGCTGGGGTTACTATGACAGGAACCAATAAGATTGCTCTTATTTTAGAAGAATGTAGCTTCTTCGGTGACTTGAAATTTCCATTTAACCTTTGATTTCCAGTGACATTAGCAGCCTGCTTTTATGTTTAAGTAAGCGTAAAGGATTATATATTAATACCTATATCTGCTTTCGGAGCAATGTGATCAGTTTGCAATTAAAGAAAAAAGACATTAGAATCTTATCTAGGACAAGATATTCCTGGTTCTGGGATGTCGTTTTATAATATGAGACGGCCCTGCTCCAAGGTGAAGACAGACTCCCCTGTGCTTTTATTTACATCTGGTTGCCAAATGGGGGGGGGGGGGATGATGGAGTTCACTTCCTCAAGACAAATTTCTAGTTTACTCACATGGAAACAGTCTTTATAGATGGCTACTAAGAAGATAATTTTATTTTTCTGAACATTTCCATGAATCCAGGGGACTTGAGGATGTGGAAAGGTCACATGGTTAGAAGAATATATTTATAAAGATCCTTTGTTGGTAAATCAGATCAGATTTTCTAACAGGAGACATTCTTTACATGATAATATCTTGAGTTCACTGAGCTTTTCCCTCCTGACTTTGGGTTGATTGGTGAAATACAGGGTATGTGGAAGTTATCTAACGTCAGTTGTGTAATAAGTAACCCGCAGATGTACTGAATTGCCTTTGGTGCTATCTTGTACTCTTCAGTCTGTAACACAATAAAATCCCTTTGTACGATGTCTGATGAGCACCCTGAGCCATAAGTTGCTTAATAAACACATTTTGGGTGACAGATCCAAGTTTTTATGGGCCCATCAGTACGTTAATTTGTGTGCATCCAGAGTCGCGCTCAGCACTTCTGTCCAGCTGTTTGGATTTTTCTTCTTGAAGGGGGTGGGGGGCACAGGGGAAGAAGAGAGATGACTTACTGGGTGACCACCTGAAAGAAAATTCTGTCAATGAAAACTGAGGAGCGCAATCCTGGGAGATGAGATTTAATTTTCAGTGCTGACTTGACGTAGTTCTTTGGCCGTGTTCATATTTCAGTTCTGGCATCCAAAGTAGTTTTTGGATGCACTTTCACCTCTCATGTCATTAGTGTATCTGTACCCTAATGTGTTGCTCCTATGGGGATCTGTTAAGTGGTATTTTTTCATCAAGTGGTCTGGTAACAAGCAGAGCACAATTAATTTAGCCCTTTAGGCAAAGCTTGGAATGAACTGTCCTGTCCATTGCTACTCATTTCTATTCAGAATATTATTAAGCCTCCCCATGGTTCTTCCCCAAGGTACTCACACACCGACTCATAGGCTAGCATGATGCCTGCCATTGCCACGTGACTAGGGATACTTGGCCAACCCACTTATCATCTGAGAGGTGGTTGGGTGATTTATATGTGCATACTAAATCTTCCTCTCACAAGGAAGACCATTTTTTTCCGTACTTACAATGCCTGATAAAAATTACCAAGTATTTATTTACATATTCTTTTTGAAATAGAGGGATCTATTTGAAATAGAAAGTTCTCTTTCTCCAGTTCTTCCAATTGGTAGCAACTTGCTACTCCGTGTCAGGATTTCCAAAATATGTGACAACTAAGTAAGTTCTATTAGTTCCTTCTCGTTATGGATTTGTGGTTCGTATGCAGCTCATTGTACTTGGGGAGAGATATATAAAACAATGCTGGTGGGAAGGGCCCTACAGAACTCAAAAGCAAGACAGCTGAGTAGGAGTTTCATCAATGAGTAGATAAGTAAAGGCACTTGATACCCTGATACTAGTTATTTGTGAGTAAGAAATTAAATTTAGGGCATAGTGGCTAGGGTTATCTCTCTAAAATCCATGCTGGTCTCTGTCATAAGGAAAAAGGGCGTTTCACCTACAGGGTAAAATTCACGGACAGTAGATTAAAATTTCAGGAGCTTGAAAGTGGTTCTGGAAGAGGTGAAAAATATTTGAATGTGATTTTCTTTCAGGAGATTAAGTTTTTAAAATTAGGCTTCAGATTTTGAAATTAGTTCTCAATACACTATCAGGTATATATAATAGAATGTACTCTTTTCTCCTTAAGACCGTGAGGGTCCAGTTCCTTGCTTTTTCACTGGATTTTGTTTATGATTGTGTTCATTCAGTCATTCCTCACATATTGAATGAGCACCCTTTGTACAAGACCCGATCTTGGGGATAAAAAGGTGACCATGACACGTGACGCTGTCTTCAAAAATCAGGAGTCAGCAAACTTCTGTAAAATGCCAGTAAATATTTTAGGCTTTGTGGGCCATACCATCTCTGTTAGGACTACACAGCTCAGCTGCTATAGTGTGAAAGTAGCCACAGACACTCGTAAATGTGTCTCAGTAAAACTTTATTTACAAAAACAGGCTATGGGCTGGATTGGCCTGCAGGTTTTTGGACCCTGTGTAGTGGATCTAGTGGACAAATAAAGAAGAATTCAATGTGATAAGGTCCTGTGATAGGTCAGGTACAAGATTCTGTATATGAAACACGTGGATGGGGGGCCCAACCCTGATGGGAGTGGGTGGTCTTTGAAGCCTTCCTAGAATCGTGATGTTTGCACTGAGGCCTTAAAGATGTGTAGGAATAGCCAGGCGAAGGGTGTATGGATTAGGGAGGTGAGAGAAGGGGTAGTTGTGTGTAGAGAATAAATGTTCTAGAAAGAAGGACTAGAAAGTAGCACGGCTGGAAAGCAGAGAATCAGATGAAGAGTGACACGAAATCCTCTCTGTCTGGAAGAGGTTGACATGGTCTGCATTTCACATCGGAAGGAGCTGCCCCTCGGAGCCCTCACACGGCAAAGCAGGCACTGAATTTCTCTTACGTGAAAATGATGCAGACAGTTTTGTTTTAAGGTTCAATCAGTTAGTGCCAGGACTTTACGTTTTAGAAGCAGACTGAACAACGTGAAAAGTGCTGCATGGGTGACTTTGTTTTGTCTAGCGGGTGGCCTGGCAGGAGGCCTGTGACTGCTGGGGAGCGAAAGAAGCTATAGGAAAAGGAGAGCCAGGCGGTGATGGCGATCTGCCTGCTCCCATGAGGCATTTGCCGCCAGAACAAGACGTCTGGCCCTCACTGCGAAGAGAAACCAAATGAGCTAAGTGGCAGAGCTAACGCCCTTCCCCGAGCTGAGGGTTCTCTGATGCCCACCTGACGTTGAATTTGGCGGGACTGGCCTGGAGAGCACTCCGAGGGGCCAGGGGCCTCTTCCTATCTCTGGGCACAGACAGGACCTGCTCGCTGGTTGGTCAAGGACCTTACGGGAAGCAGCACGATGTCGTGGAAGGGGCCCCAGCTGTAAGATGAGACACAAGTTCAAATCCTGGTTGCAGCACTTACCTGCTGTGTGACTTGAGCAAAGTTCAACTCTCTACATCTCAGTTTTCTCCTCTGCAAAGTAGAGATATTGTATCTACCTCGCAAGAGTTGTCATAAAGAAAAGACCCATGCAAATCCATAGCATTGGTGCCAGGCCTGTAGGAGGTGCCCCCAGAAGTCTTGCAAAGTTGGAATTTAGTCTTTATGGCTTACCTGCCTTTTCCGACCCTGCTTGTTGTGGCTCAGAAGAGGGGTGGGTGAGGGCATAAGAGTGAATATTTGTTTCCGCCATTGGAGAAACAATGCGAAGGACAGGACGAGTCCTTCAGAGGGAGCTCAGAATATTTTTATGCAGGATACTGCTTTATGATTCTGTTCTGTGCTTTAAAAAGAAACACAACAGAAGGAGCGCATGGGTATCCTAGAGCAGTCTGCTGCTGCATTCTCAATGAAAGCCACTCATCTCTCTAACAATGAAATTTTGATGCATTTAAACTCAATGTAAATATTCACCGCTCTCCTTTAGATCCACTATATACAAGGTGAGGTGACCCTTCTCTGTCATTTCCCATCAAGCTATAAATCCACAGCAGTTCCTTCCCCATCACAACTTGTAGCCCACTTCAGGGATCCCCTCCCCCATGGAATATGCAGCGACAGGACTAGTGTGATGGAGGTGGC